CACCATCATTTGTGTATAGTTTAGAATACTATAAGTTGGAAATGAATGATAGTAAATTCAACAAATGTTTAGAAAATGGACTTATACATAGAAGTTGGAAAATATTTTCATTTATACATAGAAGTTGCAAAAATGATAAGAGGCCGGATCCAGCCTGTTGCATGCCCAAGCTTAAGTTCATAGGCAGTCAGCCCACTCTTTCTGCCGGTCGCCGTCCATGGACACACTAGTCAATGGCGAACATCTTTCCAAGCGTTGCAGAGACGAGATACGTGTATGCTCGTAAGTTTTTTTTTTTTAATTTTTTAGTTTTTTATTTTTCTTTAATCCTTCCTGTCCTCTAAACATTTCTTCAAATTACTCTGCAAAAAAGGCATACATGTAATATCCAGTTTAATAAGTATATAAGATAAACTTTACCAATTAGCAGTACGTATTGTGTCTACCCAAGGCTATTTGTCGGCATATGTGTATAATCCAGTGTGTGTATATGCTGTACGTGTAATTCTTGTAACTCTTTTGTACGGAATATTGTCTGCGTTGAACTTCCCGCTCCTTCTGGTTAGAGCAAGAAGGTTTTCGTCTTTTCCTTTCCCCTTCCATCTCTCTCAATTGTTTTTGTTTCGAAAGCAATTTGCCCCCTTATGTAATGTCTGAATGATTATTGTTTCTGTGCGCTGAATTCTCTTATCACTTGTGTAAATTATATGTAGGTTTGTTTATTTTTGGAGAAAATTGGTGCAAAATTGATGAGCTTAAGTTAGGGTTTCTTACCATGTAACTTACAATTTATAAAGTCTGCTAAATTTTTTTATGTTCTCATTTCTGTTTGAAGTACTTGATACGCCTTCGTTATTTACGCATGGAGGTTCAATTTCATCATGTTGTATTTGTTCTATTTCTTCATGTTTGTGGAGGAAAGCCTTTCTGTTCCAACAGGAGTTTGAAATGGAAGTAGATGGAGCCGGGCTGCGATTTCTTAATGTTCCGATGTTTTTAGTGCTTCCGGTTTTCCAATTTTGGAAAATAAAAAATGATAGTCTTGATGAAAATAATTATCATTTCTTGGTTTCTATAAATTGGAATGTCTTGTGGTCAGAAATATTTTATGGCCATATCAATGATTCTACAATTTTGCTGCGAGAACTTGTCATCAACTATGGGATTCCTGTTTCACGAATTTGCCTCTTAATGGTGTAACTGTTGTTGCTATTGTCTACTTATTGGGAAGGGAAAAGATTGTGGGACTTCACTGGTGCCATAAACCAGGGAAGTGACAACTTAATAATGAACTTCATTTTACTTCAAATATTATATATGTTGTATTAATAATTACATATATCAATTAAGTATGCTAGGATAACGAGTACGTGCTGACACGATATCTCTTTCATTTTTGAGTGTACTCATTAATGAACCCATGAATTTTGTTTGTCTTTTCAATTTTTTCTTCCACTAATAGCAAAAGATGAAAATGATATTCGATTATACCCGTCATATAGAATTACCTCTCAAAGGTGCAGTGAATTTCCAAAGCACTATCCTATTGCAAAAATTATTATGATCATAGTTTTTGTGGCTGAGAGAATAATAATGCCTAACCTCTGTTGCTTTGACTTTTAACTTAATTATGTTAATGAATAATGTGATTGGGATTTGTTCATTTTGCTTTGTAGATTTTCTGTTTATTTCTATTGATCACTCCATGTGAAACTTGCACCTCTATTATTGTCAAAGAACACATCCACTCTCTTTAGCGTCCTGTTCGTATCCTAATGGCGGATCATCACATTAACCACATGCGGCCAGTTGGAGATGATGAAGCTCAGCGGTATGCCAATGAACAAGATTCTCAAGAAGACGAAGAAGAACAACAAACTGAAGAAGAGGAAATGGAAGAAGACGAGGAGACGGAAGAAGTAGAATTGCAAAATGAAGAGTACATTCAAGTGGTGGAATCTCCCTGGATTTCACAAGATGTTGTTGAGATTTCTTTGGAGAACGGAGAGGGAGAGAAGCAGAGAAGAGATGAAGGAGGTGGAGATGTCTACTCGTCCAGCGGTTCTCAAGGAAGCGAGTGGAGTCGCAGTGAAATCGATGGGCTGTTTTGCCCAATATGCATGGAAACCTGGACAAATTCGGGGGAACATCATGTCTGGTAACTGAGAATTGGATTAAATTACACATTTCTGGCTACAATTTCATTTATGTTTGGTTTTTAATGGACATTTGTTGCGGCTACAATTTCGTACACTGCAGTTGTCTTCCGTGTGGGCATATATATGGATTTTCTTGTATTAAGAAATGGTTGCAACAACGCAGAACATCTAGAAAGGTATTCTTTATTAATTTCATGAATAATCATCTTTATTAATTCTACAATTTCGTACACTCAGGCTTACGTATGTTTTACCCCTCCTTTTCAGTGTCCCCAGTGCAACAGAAAATGTACACTGAAGGATATCCGGAAACTTTTTGCATCACGAGTTACGGCAGTTGATGAAGAATCACAAAAGGTTATAATAGAAATTATTGCTAGATATTTTAGAGGAAATATGGAGTCAATTTTAATGATTATTTTTAATTATATGCAGAGAATTCGGTTTCTTGAGGCCAAATGTGCTTCTCTTGAGAAGGAGGTAGGAAAAATTGTTGGAAAAATGCATATAAGATGTTCACGTAATTACAATTTCACTTTATATAGTTTGGTCTAATTCAAATTCAAACACTTTTTTTAAATGATAATTCAGTACTTGGTAGTGGTTTTTATTTTTCATTGGCTAAATGCAATAATAAGTGCCAAAGTTTTCAAGTTTTATTCAATTGAATGCTTTATCTTTTATTTTAGAAATTAAGTGCCTTAATGTTTTATGTTGTATCCAATTAGGTGGGCACACTAATAATTTAACTAAAAGTGTTAAACTTGATTTCACATTGCATAAATGTAGTTTTGATATACGACACGACAAAAGTTTCCATGCTAGCATTTTAAAAGAAGTTAAAAGGAAATTTTTTAGTTATCTAAATAAAAAAGCCGCAAAAATTATTAATAAGATAATGCATTCAAATACTAGATGTTTAAGATTAATTGGCTTACCTAGTAGCAAGGTACTACCAATTTAAAATTAATTAAAGTAATTGCAAAATAACGGAGAAAATATGAAAAAATATTTCTTCTTGTTTTATTCCAATGGATTTGTATATATATATATGTATATATATACATGGAGGAGGGATCTATATATGATAACATAAATCACCCTATTAATGCTAATATATCTAGGAAATCAACTAATGATTACATGAGAATATTCCATAATATACTCTGTAATATTGTAACATTTTTTCTCAAGGTGAAGTATAAATATTAATCATGCTTAGTTTGTTATGAAGATATTCAACCCGGGTTCTATTTAAAATTTTTATGAATATATCATTTAATTGTTCCTCTATCTTCACATAACCGGTAGAGATCAAGTTTTCTTGAATCTTTTCACGGATGAAGTGATAATCAATCTTGATATGTTTGGTTTTTTCATGGTACACCGGATTTGAGGTAATATGAAGGGCAAAGTGATTATCATACAAGAGTTTTGCAGGTAATATGAGATTCTAACTCAACAGTCTGCCCTGTATTCTCCATGATACCAGG